AACCTTTTAAAAATCTGACCTTTTGACCTTTTAACATTTCTAGCTCTGATTTCTATTGTGCATTCATTAAAATAAATTAAAATTTGGCTGTCTGAGGGCTGGGGAGATGGCTCAGTTGAATAAGTGCTTGCCTGGCAAGCGCAAGGGCCTGAGTTCAATCCCCGGTTCCACAAAAAGAAAAAAAATTTGGCTGTTTTGACTTGCTGTATTATTTCAGGAGTATACTGAAAGATGGTAGGGCGTTCTCTTAGCATTTGCATATCACACAGCAGTGCATACCTATGCTAACCAAGACACCCCCAATGCTACAACATGATTCACTGAGTCTGACCAGATACAGAGCTGCTCAGGCTCATGATTCACTGAGCCTGACAAGGAGGAGCTCCTCAGCTCCTCCTATTATTGCCCCCCCCCCATTTATATACCTTGTCTCCTCAGCCACTTCCAATTGGGACAACCTCATGGTTTCTCTTTATGATTTATGACCTGATACTGCTGGTGCAGTGATCTGTACAGTATTTGCAGATTGCCCCTGAATTGGTGGTTGATTTACTACTGTTACTGGCATAGTAATTTTATTTTTAATTTAATCTTAATTCTATTTTGACTGGGAATTGAACTTAGGACCTTGTGCTTGCCAGACAGGTGCTGTACTACTAAGCTATCTCCCTGACCCAGTATAGTAATTTTAAAGATGCTGCTCTGGCACTAGCAACATCAGAGATAGAACTTTAAAATATCTTGCTTGATGATGAGCCTGAGGAACGTACATCCAAGATTTGCTTTTGGTATCTACTATAGCTAAGTCAACTTTCATCAAGTACAATGAAGTAATCTTTCAATACCTCAGTGTGATACCGAACAATCCTCTAGAAATGTAAACATAAGGAGAACAGAGCATGGACAACAAAATGGCTTTTGTATAAACAAATGTATTGACATAGTTAATTTACAGAAAAACGTGTTACCTGACTTAGCCTTTCTACAATTCCAGAAGAAACAAGAAACTAGATATTAATCTCTTGCTAGTCTCACTTACAACATTTTTGAAGGGACTGTCATAACACCGTATTTATAGTAGTTGTTATATACTATATTTTTATAAAAGAATCATACTCCATACAAGTATTATGACATCAGTACAATGCTGAAAGATTATGTGAAGGTAAAGAAACCTTGGCCTAAGGATATGAATTCTTAAGTTATTTAAGAAGTCAGAAACACTACGGTGAACATCAACTATCATAAGGGCTTATTAAGAAATTATGGGGACCAGGGAGATAGCTCGGCTGTCCTAAGTGCCTGCCTGGCAAGCAATAGCACCTAGGTTTGACCCTCAATACCACATGCCGTACCAGACCAGTGCTGAGCAGGCCGCCGGAACCAGACATTGCAGCATGCACCGGTAATCCCAATGCTGGGCAGGATGAGACAGGACAACACGAGTCTGAGCTGTGTAGTGAGATCCAAAGATTTTTTAAAAAATTAAAAATAAGAAATGATGTACATGGAAAGCAGCCTCAGAAATGGGCAATTTCACCCTTCATTATGACTACATTCTGTGTCACGCATCCCTTCTGGTAAGGCAATTTCTGCTAAATAAAAACATTTCAGTAAGTGCTCTTTCACCTTATTCACCAGAGTGGGTACTGTGCAACTTCTCTGAAGTCAAAATGGCTATGAAAAGTAAACATTTTAAATTGCCTCTGAACATTAAGGCAGCCACAATAGTGCAACAAAAGATAGGAAGGAGAACTTCCAGACTTACTTCAGAAAATATGTGTTCAAAGCAAGGAGAGGACAATTAGTGACACTATGTCTCTCACTATAATCAGTTTTTAACATTCACTTTTTTTCTGATACAAAGTCTCATCATATGGCCCCTGCTTCAGCTTCTCAAATGCTGGGATTACAGGTATGTACCACCACTCCTGGCTAGTCACTGATTCCTTTCTTTTTTTTTTAATGTATTTAGGACAGGGTTTAACTACACAGATTGGACTAGTAGTGATTCTCCTTTCTCAGCCTCCGAAGCACTGGGATTACAGGCACGTGCCACCATGCCCAGTCTCAATCACAGTCTCAGTGCACCATGGGGGCAGGGCTGACATGGCCTGCAGGGGATCAAACCCCAGCTGCTGTATTCTGCCTAAGCAGGTGCTTTAGTCCACTGAGCTATCTGGTCATAGTCACTGATTTCTTGGTCAAACTTCTTGATATCTGGAAGATTAAGGCACAGAGGAAGAATTGGCTATTAGTGAACTGAGTGTGTGGCTGTGCTCACATAGTACACCTGTGTAACTGTGTGTAACCTACACCAGAGTTTTCTGTTTAAGTCTGGGGTTCAAGATAATGTAGTAGGTTTCCAAACAACAACAGTCATACTTCCTGCACGAAATGCTTAAAGATCTGAAGAGACCTTGTAATAATTCTGAGTCCTTCAAGCCTCACTGTTTAGAATCAATGACTGATATTACTCATGTGATAAGAACCATTAATTTAATGCTGGGTAGCACACCCTTGCACGCCATGAAAACAGAAAGTCACTTAGCCTGTGGCTCACCCTTGTTTAAATGTCTCCATCATTTTGTCCTCAACCGACCTCCCAGCAGGCTGGTGCAGAAGGGCCTCTATCTCACTCAAGGCTCTTGCCAGCCTCCTCAGCTCTCATATCAGAGACATTCCAGTCAAAATGAGATTCCTATTATCCCAAAAGGAACATAGCAAGATCACACCAGTAACCCTTCTTAGGGATACAAGTCCATTGTTCTGTTGTTTCCATAGTAAACCACACTTGGCCTCAAACCCTCTCCCACTGTGGCAACTTTTATTTAAACTTCCCTGTCCTGTAACTGCCAAAGCTGTGCAATTTGTTTGTGCCACTGGTCTGTGGGCAACCTGTCAATGAGGAGATCCGTCTCTGTCTGTAGGCTTGTCCTCTGCTACGCTAAGAAGAGTAGGCTCTGTAACAGAACTACACTCTGAAAGAGCCTGAACCAAATAACTTGCTGCTGTTTTTTAACAGATCAAAGTATGAATGGAAAAGTAAAGAGTAACATCACCAGGAAAAAAAGCAACATTAGAGTACACTTCTCTGATCTTTACACATATATCTTGTTATATGTATATATTTCTGTATCTGTGTTGCCCATGAGATCATCTGGAAGGTATGTGAGAAAGGGTGACATGCTGCCATTCTCCAGACTCAGGGTAACAGCAACTATTCCTCATAACCCACACTGATGGAATGGACAGACAGGATACTGGTCTCAACATGGAGCTCTTGTCACAAACTACATGTACCACTGTTGGCAAAATAGTGTTATGTTCAGAGAAGAGACAAAAGCAGGACTGCTGGGAAACCCAAAATGGCAATTGGTGACATAGTCATGCTATGAAAACATCAGCTCTCTGCCTTCCACACTGAGTGGGGATGAGCATGCTGTTCCTTCTTGCACGCTAGACACGTACCATACTCATCTCTGACCCTGTACATACAAGTCTTTTTTTTTTTTAATGTATTTAGTTCAGGGTCTACAGGGTCTCAGCATACGGATAGGACTCATAGTGATTCTCCTGTTTTCAGCTTTCCAAGCACTGGGATTATAGGCACGTGCCACCATGCCCAGTCTTAGTCATGTCTCAGCACGCCCCAGAGGCAGGGCCAGCACGGCACACTGGAGCTCAAACCCCTGCGTCTGCCTAAGCAGGCACTTTAATCAACTGAGCTATCTGGCCAGCTCTCCACTAAGTCTTATGGCTTACCCATATGTTACAGATGTGGAAAGTAAAATACAGAAGACTGAGTAAATTTTCCAAAGTCATAGGCAATTTACATTGAAGCATGGTTTTTAAGAAGGTAGTGTGGTACTGGAGCCAGTTTTCTCAACCATTATGCTATATTCTCTCATAATGCACATCATATCTTGCTTGGGCCTCCATTTGTGGGAGGTATTAAAAGACCTTTGTAATAATAGAAAAGGAGTGGTAACTGTCATTGTTTAAGAATTGCTATGCTACACATACTATTACTATTTATGCCAACTCTACAAAATATTTTCTTCATTGTTGAAGTGAGAAACCAAGTTCTGCATCAAGAGGGAGTGAACGGCAGAGCTCATATAAGCTACCCTGACCGCAAAGTCTGTGTCTTCCTTTGCACTTGGATGCCTGAATATGTGTCCTGGATTAGCTGGGAAATCACATTTCAAAATCTTCTCTAGGTGTGGTGGCACACATCTATAACCCCAGCACTTAGAAGGTTGAAGCAAGAGGATTACTGTGAACTGGAGGCTAGCTTGAGCTACACAATGAGTTCAAGGCCAACCTGATCTTCATAGGAAGATCCTGTCTCAAAAATCCAAAATTTTCTTTTGACTCCAGTTATCTCTCCATTAGAGTGAGGATTAGAGGGGAAGATAAGAACTGAGCTCTTCCAAAGCTACTAATATGGAAAAGTCTCCAAGATAGAAACAGGAATAGACATTTTTAGAATATAATGGTGCATGTACACATGTACACACTTGGTGTGCACACACATGAACTATACTGATATGCACGCAGAGAACACTAGTATAGATCTATAGAGATTAACTAATAAGCATACATACAGAATGCATTGATATCAATATACACATGAAAATATTCACAGATATGCACATAAAATATGATTCTATGACAATTCTTTCATATATTAACTTTAAAGACCTGGGTGAAGGTGACACTGCATGTAACATTTTTAACTTTATACCTAGCTCTTTATCATGCTCTATATCATATATGATCAAGAAGTGAACCATCATTTTGTGGAAGAAAGTTATGTATTTGCTATTACTATGACTAGAAAAACTCAGGTTTTCACATTATATCCTTTACACATAGGAGATGAGAAAAATGATGTGATGAGAAAAATCACATCATTTTATTTTCTGAAAAATAAATATTGTAAAGGTACTCATACAACTTCATTATTTGATTACAATGAAGGAGACACTAATTACCTTGACAGAATCCAGTAAACTCTTAGGAAAAAATCGCTTTAAACCAACATCTTTTCTGAAATATAAAAAGAAGCATATTAAAAAATAACTCCACAAAATCATTAACATAAGGACATATTTACAAGAACATATAAACATTTCTAATTAATTATCCTTCCAAATATCATTCAGGAAGGAAATATAAAATTCTTAATTTTCTAGTGTACTCCTGGAGGAACTGGGACAAATCATTTCTAATTATGTACAGAAAACACAAACATAGGAGGTTAAGTCAGAATCTTTATTCTTTTACCATTATTGTTATAAAGCCGTCTAAAATGTTGCCTCTGTGCAAATCACAATGTATGATAGCTATTGCCGGGAAATTATTTGATGAACATCAATTCCAAGTGGGTAATACATTTTTAAAGAAAGTAGCTAACCTGTATAGGAATGAATTCGGGGTACTGGACATTTTACAAAAAAAAGAAATCCTTTGAATTTATCTTTCAGTTCCGTGTTTAAAATAGATTTTCTGACTAAGGAACTCAACTCATTCACCTAATCAGTTTATCAACTCAGTTTCATATAAACGTAAGGATACAGAAACCAAGTGATTTATCCTAGTCAAAAAGCTGAATGTATAAAAATTCCAGAATGCTCAGCAATTTGCTTAAGTCAGCCTGTAAAACTAGAGGCCTCAGAACACCTGGCCAAGAAAAGTGACTGGAAGCAAATGTGTCTGGGCCACTAGATGGCACCTATGTGTTAGAAAGATGAAATAATGCCTTTAAGGAGCCAGCAGATACAGAAAATATAAAAGGATCAAGGAAAAAAGCTAACATGAACATAAATTGAATATGAAGTAACAAAAAACAGGGATTATGTCTTCTGTCACTGAATTAGCTGGTTTATAATAAAAACATTGACATAATGCCAGAGTTTATATAGTTGAACCTATGTCCAAATATTTTAAACCTTTATGTTATAATCTAACTACTAGAAGGAACCGAAGTCCAACACTGGTCAGAGTTCTCACTCTTTTGTTTTTTTAATTGTTATAATTACATTTACCACATTCTACAAGTTCTCTTTTGGCTCTGTGACATATTGTTTCCTGGCTTTACCTATCAGTTAATTCATACAACTCCTAGGTTTTAGGAGTTTTACATCTCTCTAAAACCACTTTTGCTCATAACTTCCTTTCATTACCTTTTCTCAACTGTTAATTTGATTATTATATATAAAAAGAAACATGTCTGACCCAGTTCTTCCTTTTGTTTCCTCTTTAAAAAAGGGGAGGAGGGTCACTGGAATTTTAGGATTCTGATGGTAACTGCCACTCGAAAGGAAAACTTAAGAGTCACTATATATAAAAGAAAAACACAGTAGAATTTCTAGGGCACTATTTCTGAGAATCTTCTTCCTTACTTCCTTTCCAGGCAACTTCCATGATAAAAAGCACTTTTAGCTGGGTATGGTAGCACATGTCTGTAATCCCAACTCTCTGGAGGCTGAGGCAGGAGTATCCTTGTGAGTTTGCGACCAGCCTGGACTACAAAGTGAGCTCAAGGCTAGCCTGAACTGCACAATGAGACCCTGTCTCAAAAAACACACACAAAAAAAGCACTTTAAATTTGTTTTTGTTCAAATATGTTTGAAATACACAGTAGTCACATGTATCTTGGGGAACTGGCACATATCTATACCACAACTTGACCATTATTATTTCTCCTCCCTATCCTTATTTCCCCCCAAATCAATCATTTTCAAATCAGAGGTCTGGATTTGAATCTGGTTCTGCAACAGGGTAAGTTTACCAATTAACACCTGTGAATTTAGGCTACTTGTAAAATAGGGATGCCAATTCTCACCTACACAGTGGTGCTGCAGATTAAATGTGTTTATAAAGAGCCTAAAACATGAGGGGAGCAGTTTTCTTATTAAAATAGCCTAGAAGCTCTTAAGAGAGCTTTGGTTCACATGTCTGATGCCTGCTATGCAGTGGTGTGATCTACAAAGGTGAGGGATGGGTACAGTGGAAAAGAATGAGGCTCTAACAGTGCACAGGAAGGAAGGGATTGGCCAAGGGTGGACTGCAGAAGTGGTGAATAGTACGAGGCAGCCTAGCAGCTCCAGTGCTAGGCTGGATTGACATGGGCACTGGAGCTGCTAGGCATAGGAGATGAAAGACAGCATGAGGTCCTACCAGGAAAGGCACTGTCCTGCAGTGGCAGGTGGCATCAATAGTTCTGTTTTGGATGTGTGCAGATGGGGACTTTCTTACTTTCTTTTTTTTTTTTTTTTTGCAGAACTGGGGATTGAACTCAGGCCCTTACGCTTGCCAGGGAAGCGCTTATTCCACGGAGCCATCTCCCCAGCCCCCTAGATGGGTACAATCTGTGCTCTCCTAGTAGGGATCTGTAAGGTAACTGGCCTTACCATGCCAGTGTTTGGTGGAAATCAAGAGCTGGACAGGGATGTCCTCTTTCCAACTGTGAAGCTGTCAACTTTCATTGATCAAATTGGTTATTTTTCCCAAAACCAGGTAGACAAAAAATAATTTATTAGATTTCTGTCACTAATAGGAAATTAAAGACAAAGAGAGTGATATATTTCAAGAAAAATTAAAGAGGATATTTCGTAATGAAAATAATGTGTGTGTGTGTGTGCACGCGCACGCATGTGTGCTATTGGGTAGAATCTAGGAACCTGTATAGGATAAGAAAGCAACTGTTCTACCACTAAACTACATCTCAAGTCCTTTTAATTTTTTTGAGACAGGATCTAAATAAGTTGCCCAGGTTGCCCTTAAATTTGCAATTCTCCTCCCTCAGCCTATGAGGTTATAGGTGTCTATCACTCTACTGGCTACTATATTTCTCTGACTTCAAAGACAGACATAATTCTATTTAGGAAAAAAATAGAAAGTTTAAGGCCCCTGCTTACCATGCATAGAGCTTTCTTTCTCTCTCTCTCTCTCTCTCTCTCTCTCTCTCTCTCTCTCTCTCTCTCTCTCTGTGTGTGTGGTGGTGGCACAGCCCATCCTGGGGGAGGGGCTGGCATGGCACGTGGTTGCTGGGGATAGAACCATAGTCCCTGACCGCTTGCCTAAGCAGGCGCTTTAGACCACTGAGCTATTTCACCAGCCCGCATAGTTTTGTTCTCACAACTACTTTTGAGTAATAATGAATTTATAACATTTGAATGTTAGAACACATTTAGATATTTGGCAATGAGAAAATAAAAATGAGGCTAAGTACACAAAATCATGGGGGAAAAAACCCACTATCTCTAGTACACTCTAATCAGGTCAAGAAGACAACCTACCTTAGGCTGTGTGGTGGAGCACTCCAAGAAGCAGCTAAGATGTTGTGTTCCACATTTTAGGGAGAGCCTATTAGAGAAACCTAAATTTAGACCTCTCTCAGGAGACCAGGCAGGGACATGTAGGTCGTCCCACTTTAATCTGAGGCCACATCTCTCCCAACTCTGTGTCTGGTACTAGTTCACAAGGTACAAACTAACCTCTGATAACTGCACCTTATGTGGGTATCATAAAACTTGGAATCCTAAGTCTACATAGCTATCTTAAAAGACAATACAATTTACATACCATGTTTCAACATGATATATCCTGCAAAGATTCACATTCACTGATAGTTTGACTCCCAACACATCAATGTTCAGGTGTTGCCTAGAGAAAGCTCTAATGTCATCAGTGGATCAATTTATGGATGCAATCATGTTATGGCATTGCGAGGTGATAGAAACTGGTAGTGGAGCTGAGCAGAAGGAAATGGATCTTGGAAGTATAATCCTGGGATTTTATCTGTTTCCTGGTTCTTTCCTTTCTGATCCACCCTGCTTACTGGCTGCCAGGAGGTGAGCAGTGTCCATGCCCTTTGGCCATGATGCTTTTGCTTTACCAAAGGCCTAAAGGCAATGGGACCACAGACAGTGACTAAACCCCTGAAACAATGAGCCAAAATAAAACTTTCCTCCTTTAAGCTGTTTTTATCCCCTTCAGGTTTTTTGGTAACGACAACAAGCTATTACATGCATCACAAGGGAAATTAAAATTATTAGCCTTTATTATGAGTCATTACTTTATTAACTGCCAAACAGCATGTCCTAAATTAATTTAAACTCATTGAATAAGAAACTAGCTCAAGGGCTGACGAGATAGCTTAGTGGACTAAGTGCCTAAGCACAGGGACCAGGGCTGGATCCCTGGCACCACATGCTACACCACTCGCCCCCTCCCAGGTACACTGCACCAGCCACCAAAATGGGGTGTGGTAACACACGCCTGTTATTCTAGCACTGGGGAGGCTGAAAACAGGAGGATCACTACGAGTTCAAGCTGCATAGTGAGATGCTGTACCAAATACATAAGAGGGCTGGTGAGATGGCTCAGTGGTCTAAAGCACCTACTTAGAACAAGCTTAGCAAAGCACAGGGACCGCGGTTCAATCCCCCAGCACCACATGCCAGCCAGCCCCGCCCCTTGGTGGGCTGAGCTGGACACACACACACACACACACACACACACACACACACAGACAAATAACATTTTAAAAAAATACATAAGAAAAACTAGCTCAGAGGATGCTTGCATAATATTGTCAAACTCTATAGTTTATTAGGTTCCCACATCAATTTGAACAGACCTTTGAAGCCATACACAAATGACAAAGTACTAACATAAGGTAAGAACTGTATTTTCATATACAGTAATCATAAGAACTCAGTAGTTCCACATGATTAGTGGCTATGAACTGACAGTAGTCCATCACTGTAGAGAGCAGCATGGAGTAGAGTGGAGTTTAAATGATGACTCTAAGATTTTGGGTATGGTGCCTACCTTAGGGCTTTGTGCCATAGGCGTGAAGGTCCTTAGCAAAGACAGGGGTAAAGGGCAATATGGATGCTAGTAGAAACACTGATACCACAAAGAAGACACAGAGACTCAGGATTCAAAAGTTCCTAGGGAGAAGGCACGGTAAGGTACAGAGTAGCCATTGCCACCTCAATACTGAAGCAGCAATGTGGGAGACATCCCAAGACAGAGTG